CAGAGCTGATGAAAAAAGGCTAAATGACCGAGAATAAGCACAGAGCAGTGGGTGGAAATGAGGGGTGGGTGAAAACGAAAAAAATAATCTGAGCTTTTATGATTTGAATACAGCTAATATAGAATTACCCTAGAATTAGACGCGTAGATCAATTGAAATACAACTTAGTTACTAAACTTACACAGAGAGAAAACTGTTAAGCTAAAAATCATATTTACATGATAAGGCATTTTCAAAGTCTTGGAATTTTTTTTTACATTGATACTTTTTCCATTTACAATTAGATAAAAGTACAGTATGAAACTTTGAACTATTGAGAATCATGACTTCACAGATCCATGGCAAATTTAGTTCTATCTTTTGTGTCAGCATATAAAAGTATTTGTTATTTCCTCTCTTAATCAGTCAGAAATGTCAGTGCTATTGAAAAAAAAAGTGCACTTTGTAAAATAAGATAACGCAAATGTATTGGCACATGTCTTTCTGCTCCCAAAGTGCTTCTACTTCAAGTTTTTCTCACAAACTCCAAATGTAAAATAACCATGTCCTGACCATTCAAAATATAAGCAACCCACACATCACAAATTGAACTGCTCCATTTAAATCTACTTGTCAATGAAAACGCCTCTTCATTTATTTTGGTCTTATCATTTGGCAAGTTTAGCTAAAACAGTGTTAAATGTTCAATCTTGAAACCAACCATGGACATTTGAAAATCTAACATATTTTCCGGCTGTGTTTCATCCAACCACAGCCATGTTAGAGAGAGGATTTGTTTGCCTTGGAGCAGTGGGCTGGGACTTGTAAAAATGGGTCTCCTAATCTATTTAGATTGCTACAACCACGTCTTCAGTCTGGAGGACAAGAGTGACCAAGCAGAGAGAGAGGAAGGACAAAGGCAGGGTAGATGTGTGGATGAAATCAGGTCATGCACTGTTATTTTGGAAACATTAAATTCATATTCTCAGCAATTAATGAAACCATATTAAGAAACCTTCAGTAAAGTGCATATGTGAATAAGAGTCTCTTCACAGCAGACAGGTCTTGGGTTTGATTCCCAGATGGTCTTCCTGTATATTTGTTGGTGTCCTCTGGGTGCTGATTAAAGCTTCCCTCCTTGTGTTATACCCTTCAAAATATGCAAACAGATAAATCAGAGAATTTGGACAATCTATGTAATTTTTTAAACAAACACATTATAACTAGAAGTGCTTAACTTTCCACAGTATGGCATTAAACCTTTACTCAATTACAGGTGTTACAAAATGCTAAAATAATGTAATATTTGCATTTTAATTCTACCAAACCTTACATCACTGTATTTTTTTTATGTGTGGGTATGTGTGTGTGTGTGTGTGTGCTGTTGGGTTTATATATGAGTCTATGTCCTTGTATGTATAATTTGGACCCTGAGTCTGTAAAATAAAGATATATATAATGTATTCAAAGACATAAATTCTTACCTTGAGCCGGGCCACATATTCACAGATCTAACCTGTAACTTAGTCTGGTGGAGTCACCTACCTGTCTCCATGGAGATAAGTTTAAAGGTCATATTTCACACAAAATGGATTCTTGTAAACTTTAAACCACGTTATAATGTTGTTACCTCTACAAAAACATACCTGGAGTTGTGTTTCGTTTTATCCAAACATGTTTGAATAACCCTTTATTTTTAGTCTGTCTACATCTCCAAAGCTCAAAATGCCCTCTTTCACCTTGTGATGTCACGAAGGGGTAGTTTTCATGTTAACAGCTACCTTTTACCTTTTCTTCAGTAGAGATTGGCAATGCCAGGGCTGAAATTATCCAAATGAATGTAGTGAAAATGTATGAACTTTAAAACACAATGGAGCACTTTCTGTGAAATCACATGAAATCACACGATGGAGAAGAGTGTTTCAGTTTGAGGGAAGAACTCAGGGTTTGTGTGTTAAACATGTGCGAATGAAACAAAACACAATTCCAGGTATGTTTTAATGAGCAAACAACATCATAACATATCAGAAAATTGAATAATATGGGCCCTTGAATGCATAATGAGCAACCATCTCAACAAAAACAATAACATCTCCATAGGAACAATCAAGGCGCCTGTACTCCACAAGAAAAGTTGTATAGTGCACCTTTAAAATACATACAGCAAAGCATAATTTCCTGTATAGATGGTGATGATAAAGTGGTAATAATATTTGCCCCTAAACCAAAAGATCTTTACATCTGGATATGGTTTCTTTATGAAATCCAAATCCTGTTGCTTTTCTAGCTTTCACAGTTCTGTGTTTCTGTACATTTATACACTTCCCCTTGCCTACCATCCACTTCTGCACATTTCACTCTACCTTACTTCAACCACATGTCATTCTAATGCAAAAAGATTCTGCCATTTTGCTGTCAGGCGTCTCCGCACTTACCCCTGCCACTCTGACAGTCAAATTCTTCTTTAAGCACCACTTTTTCGGAGGCACAAAGCACTCCATCTTTCCACTCGTTTTTATATAAGGACAAGTCTGGTGCGGACACATGCAGATCGAAGATGTATTTTTTATTCTTTTCGGACAGCGGCAGTGAAAGGCCATCAGAGTCCTTTCAGAAGTGACTTGCCTTGAGCAGTACAGCATGCCCTCATGGAGACCTCTTCAGTTCTCCTCTGAGTCTCCGTGCTCCATCTCTCTCTCTTTCTCCCTCTCTGTTCTCTCTCTTCTCACTCACACACACAGTGAATGCACGCGGCTTAGGCTCAGGTGAAGCTGATTGTTCACTTCCCCCAGGCTTTCTTAGAATGGAATCCGCTGTGATGGCTGTCTCTATGATAATGTTGATGGTAGTTGACCCCTGCGATGCCCTGCACACACACAATTCAGATTATTCCACAGTTTGGGCATAAGCAAAATGTCCACCAGGTCTGGACATGCACAGAAGAAGAGTTATAATATTGATCCACTGATGCTAGAACTAGAATTGCTGTGTTTTTTGCTATTTAAATGGTGCAATTAAAAAGCCATAGACTACAATTGTGTAATTCAAACTATATCCTCTGCAAACCACAACCTGTTAACCTTTTACAAACAAGTTCTGAAGCACATGTGATTCTGTATTCCTTTATTAGTTCAATTATATTCGTATTCCTATATTATGCTATTTTCTGATCTGTTATACTATTTCCTCATCAAAAACATACCTGGACTTGTGTTTTGTTTCATTCTTTCGTGCTTCACTGTGTTTTTAAACTCCATTCACCTTCACAAGAATAATTTGGTTACTTTCAGCCCTGGAATTGCAAATCTCTATTGAACTAAATGTAAAAGTAGTTGTTAACTTTAAAAGTACAGCTCCATAACATCATAAGATGGTACAAAGCATTGTGAGATGAAGACAGCCTAATAATGCAGGATTACTCAAATATGAATGAAACAAAACACAACCCAGGTATGTTTTTGATGAGACAACAACATTATAACGAGGCTTAAAGCTCACATAAGACCTTCAATATTTCAGTGTTCTCCCAAATGTTAACTCTAATATGTGAGTGTTGTGAATTTAGATTTTTAGTTTAGTTAGTTTAGTTTTGTTTGAACATAAGATATAAAAAGGGTGGTCAAAAATATCAACAAACAAATGGTTAAGTTGGAACTAGCTTTTTTGGCTAATTGTGGCATTTACGGAAATGTGAATTACTGTCTCTGAAATAAATAAAACAAAGCAGTGTAGAGGAAGATTAAAGGATGTAAGAAAAAGAACACGAAGTTAGTGTGAGAGTGCAGTACTGAGGATGCCAGTCTCTGAAACAGAAAGATGAAATGGTGACATGAAGGTTCAATGCCATGCTGCTGGCATTTCGCCCACCTGTACCTGTAATACTTTACTGTCACTGTGTTTCTTCTTCTTCTGTTGGGTCAGCAGTGACAGAGCACACCGCTGCCTCCGACATGCAGAACCCAGAGAGGGTGCTGTTGGGTTCATTATGGGAGTCAGGCAACCACGGATTAATTCTGCTGCCGATAATTGGATGGCCTGTCTCTGAGCAGGGCACGGCTTATGTGTCTGGAAAGCTGGCTGTTGGGAATTGACTGGGAAAATGCTAAGAAGTTTGTGAAGCATCCTGCATGTTTTTTCAGATTCAGAAGCATTGTCATACTGAGACTTGCTGCTATTGAATCACTGATGGGTTTAACAATAGATTGTCAGTATAGAATACCATTATAGGTATATTTAAGCTCCTATATTACCTCTGGTGCCCTGGCTAGTGTGTAAACTGCCTCTGATCTCTAATGGTTTTCTTGATTGCCATTATTATTTACAAGTCTTTCTCTTTTCTTAAATCTTAAATCACAATATTCTCAGCTGCCCCAAGACAATTTGATAGAGACATGGCAGCAAGTAGCACATTATAACGTACCATATATACCAGTGTTTCCCAAACTTTTTTTCTGGGGACCCATATTTTAAAAGTCACGAACCTTGACCGCAACCCAACGTCAAAAGACATTATTCGTAAATCACATAATAAAAGTGGATTTGACCATTATTGAACATTAATGAGGATATTTATTGTTGACTGAGCGATCGATCGTGTCTCTCGGAACAATTAATATTACTCAAGTTTTAAACTATGAAAAACAGTGGTTAAAACAGCAATTAAAACGATCCATAAGTTGCATATTTGGATATTAAATGTAGCCCATTTCTTTTTCTTTTCAACATTCAATTGAACCAGTAACATTGGAACAAAATAGTCGATAAAATAATTACAAGACAAAAAAAATAAATTTCTTGTGACCGACCTTGCAACCCAGTTTTTTGGGGAAACAATGATGTGTATCAATAACAATGTTCATAACTAATGTTCATAAAAAGCAATACAAAATGTCAATCCAAATGTCTCTGTAATATACACGTTGCACAGTGATCCAGTTTTAACTATGATTATATTTATAATTTCCAGCTCCCACATAACCTGTACTAATATCTTCTCTGCATTCTCTCTTTCTATGTTTCAGATCCCCAGCTCAAGGGTATAGTAACCAGGTTATATTGCAGGCAGGGCTACTACTTGCAAATGAACCCCGATGGCTCGCTTGATGGGACCAAGGATGACAGCAGTAATTCCTGTAAGTACCACAACAGATGGCTCTCTTCTACGGCACAGGCTACACTATATGGAAATGTGATCTGATTTTATAATTGTATGGGTTGCTTCTTCTTTATTCTCATTTAATTCTGCTAACTAATATAGCCCTAGCAAATAAATAGACTGAGAGACATAATAGGAGCACTTTACTTGAAGAGCTACCCACATGGTTTCATTCATACCCTGTTGCCATAGAACTAGATCCATGCCTGTTGCAGACGCGAGGTGAGGCGCGCTAGTCCAAGGTTACCATTTATTCATTGACGTCTTTACCGTTCTTTGGTCTTTGGTAGAAAATGTTGTCTTGAATGAGTCATCCAGTGCTAGTCTCGTCTGTGTGAGAGGGTTGGACTAGAAAACAGTGGGCTTAACACAGAGAAAAGGTATTATTAGCTTGTTCTGGCACAGCTCCTTTATAGCTAGCGCTTCAGGCTAGCTGGTTAATTTGATTCCAATAGGGCGCTAACGTCGGCCTGACACTTAGCATTGTGTCACCCGGCGCTGTCACAGAGAGGAGATGTCACTTTTGATTGGATAAAAAAATCATTTATTTAAAACTATGGCAATAATAGAAGCTAGCCTGAATGCATGGGGGTAAAATGGGCTTTCAAATTGTGGATTTATCTCCAAACCCTTGTCACAAAGAAGGCAATTCTTTTCAGCTCTCCCTCTGGCTCCACACCTGCCAATACCAATTACTTCCAGGGTCAACAGAGGTCGTCAAGAATGCTTCAAGACACCATAACATATACTTAAAAGCAGAGCGCGGTTGTGTTGTGAATAAACAATCATCAGTACAGGCAAAAGAATCATCCGTGATTAAAGAGGACGATTACAGACGCTCCTCCTCCACGAGACTACAAGTTGTTTATCTATTCACCTTTGCCCATTATCTCATTGCATACCATTGTATTATACGTGCACAGCATTTGGACTAAGAGAGATGAAATGTTTTTTTTAAATAAACAATTAAATGATAACTAATCTATATCTAAATTACAGTTTGCTGGCAAGAACTTCAACCCTAGAATAGCCTACAATGTAAATGTAGACCGGCAGTTATTATTGAAGACAATGATCATATGTAAAGTGATATTCGAGTTCTGGTTTGGGGCGACTGAGGATTTGATCAGCTCTTGGGCTTTATTTCCCCCTCACCTGAAGGAATGAGAAGTAAAAAAAAGGAAGGAGGGGCACTTAAATGAAGATGGAGAGGAGGGAGCGGTGAAATGGGAGTATGGTGTGGGTTAGGTGTAATGTAATGCTTCCACACATAATATAAATAAACATATGAGTGTATTTGAATTTCCACTGTGTGATGTACTGTGTGTCTTTGTGTTTTTCAGCTTTGTTCAACCTTATTCCTGTGGGCCTCCGAGTTGTCGCCATTCAGTCCGTGAAGACAGGGTTATACATTGCAATGAACGGGGAGGGCCATCTGTACACATCCGTAAGCTCTTTCTTATTCACCATTTCACAACATTATAGCAAATACTGAACTGTTCTAATTCAGGTTAAAACAAATATAGCCATGGATGTGAATGTGGTAAACACACATGAATAAATACATCACAGCTTCGTAATGCCCATGGAGCACGCTCAGATATTTACCACATTTGTGACTGGATAATTGCATTTCTCTAAAGGTTAGGGATCCCATTAAACACAAACTTGTGCGTGTACGTTTCTGCCTGTCGCTTCATCCACCCCCAGAGTTTTCCTCCATATTGGAATATCATTTATTTCAAGTGACAGAAATGAGCACATCTCTCTGTCTTGTTCTCTCTCTGTCTTGGTGATGTGCTGTTTTGCTTTTACATAAAAGATTGCAAATATAAATTGCTTGGTTTATATAGATGTAAAATCCCTTCTGACTAATTTGGCAGGAAATTGCATACTACTCATATGCCTTTGTTTTAATAAACCCACCACCCTGTTTTTTCAATGGTTAAGAGAGATAATAGTTGTCTGAAAATCGATAAGTAGATGCTAAAACCTACTTTTGAAAGATGTTAATTTGAACAAATCTGAAAAACATTTCATAAATAGGACCACATTTTAACTGTTTTTTTAACAATAAGATCACATGCAAATTTACTATTATTCTGTCTTGAAAAATAGATTAGGTTGTCTAAAAAAAAAACAACAACAAAAAAATGTTATTGTTATTGTGGCAGAGAAATTACCCATTTAATAATTTCCTTGTTATCAAAATTGAGTTTGTAATTTTTGTATCTTCCAAAACTCAAAAGTAAGGGACCACTCTAATGGAATTCAAAATTATCATTTGTTTTAGTCCTTTAAAAAATATTGGATACTTTAGTGTTTGTAACCACTAAACCCTTGTGTGCAACAGAGATACCCCATCAAAATAATTCCCCTTGTGGATCCTTAAAGTCAGACTAACTTCCTTGGCAAGTTGGGCTTTCTCATTCACTGTGGCCCTCTCAGTCAATCAGATCTGTCAGCAGCAGAACACAGAGAAGGTGTGGAGCTGCTTAGTGAGACAGGAGCATAGATCACTGTGTGTCTCAGCTCCCCTAACTGTCCTTATGCTCCTAATCCTCCGAGCGCACAGCACCAATCGCCATCTCCATTTGTTATCATGAAGGCTGAGCTGCTCTCACTACAATGCACCCTTATTCCTCTGCAACACTGTACCACTTAATCACAGCAGGACTTAAGCTCCAAACGCAATACTTTTGAGGAGGATTGGCTCAGGATTCAATGGGTTTTCTTGAGTAAGTGTACAGTAAGATTTCCAATACTATGCATTTAACATGTGTGGTTTCTACAGTATCATTGTAGGCTATTCAGAGATGTTTTGATTTGACTAATATGTTTATAATTTGTATTCAATGATAAGCTTTCTATTTCAAACTTTAAAGGTTCACTTTTCTGGGCACATTGTTACTGTGACCTTGATCACAGCATGCAGCATCACCTACATGTGGAGCATTCTAGACACAGCAATAACATCTCCATGGAGAGGAGCAGGTGGTAGACCCACAACCAGAAAAGTTAATACATAGTACATCTTTTAGTTTAAAGAAATAGGATCAATAATTACAATGTAAATATAATGCCTCTAAAATAGATTAGTTTTTTGATACTGTGCTGTCTAGAATTTTACTGATCCTTACCAGTTTGATTTCCACCCATGAACTCAAGATTACGTAATACTAATGACTGAGAATCATGTAAAGGAAAGTAAACATGATTGTGATTGGCCACAAGCTCTTAGTGCCTCCCCCCCGCATGTGAAAATTGCTTGTTAAAACAATTGATAGTGTCTGTGGGTCCATGCTGTACACCGGCGGTACACAGTGATCTTGAAGTGTTCTCCATTTGCAGCTTGTGTCTGTACTAATGGACGCAGTACTTTTAACTATCTGTCCGCCCCCTCAGAGGTCTCTGCTCGGAGTCTTTCTGTGTGAATTAGCTCCATAATGGCAGCCTTGTACAATGTTCTCCATCCTCCTCTCTCTACCCCTGCCTCTTCTGTCGTTCGCCCGAGCAGGTACAAGCACTGCTGCAATTACCCAATGTTCCTATTCAAATCAAAGTCTGACGATCGGCCTTTTCCACCATTTAGATGTTTTTGATTATAGTGCACTTGCTTTTTAAGTACGTTTCCAAGAATGTCACATAAAAATGTTTTGGAGAAAATGTGTTGTTATTGATGTGCGCACAAACTTTCTTCTGTAATCTTTTCGTTTTCTTCTTGTTCTTAAAATATGCAGCTGGTAGTTGACTGATAATGTGTGGTCTTATATAAGATGCAGGTTTTTTTTTAGAGATGCACTAATCCAGCTTTTCCAATTCCGATACTGATTTTAATATTATAGCTTTAAGTATCTGCCGACATCAGTCCATGCTGAGACTGAAAACAGCATTAAGACAAAACTAATCCAAATGTTATAGCTGTTATTTTTCTGAGGTAAACACAGAACAACTTTGTATAAATAAAGTAATATTATAAGGGATGTAACAAAAACAGAAATATCGTGTTATTTTATCATCAAAAGTCTCACAATAATATCATGGGCTCTCATAATATTTCCAAAAGTTCCTTTGCTTAAATTAATGGTGTTATAGTAGCAACAGCTTATAAACATACTGAACTACATATCCCATGATTCATTTCATGAATCATGAAGAAATATATATATTTTTTTACTTGAATTCTTGTGATTATGACAGAAATAATTCACACCAAAATCTTGTCTAGGTATTTTAAAAGTGAAAAAAAGTGTCCTATCTACAATTATATTAGCCTCTCCAAAATATTGCAATAAATATCTTTCCGTGAGATGCATATTGTGATAATATCGTACCGAGAGATTTGGATATCGTGACATCCCTATATATTATGCATTTAAATACCCAACCAGGATACTGACTGAACCGATATTTGGAATCTGACAGCTAGCAAATTCTTCGATGTCAGCGCTGATATCCAAAACCAGTATTGAATTGCTGCATCCCTAGTATTTTTTTTTTTTAAATAACAAACAAGACTAACTTCAGTAAAGGTTGCCTCCTAAATTTGATTGTTTTACTCTTTACTATCTGGCAACACATCCCAGAATGCATTGCTATTCCGCTATACATTCCCAATCCTTATATACACTGACCTCCCTCCTTCACAGCCTATTTTGTAACTTATTATGAACTGAAACTATATTTATCTCGAGACATCGCATCTTAGTGAAATCCATTTGCTTCTCCTGCAGTGCCCAGTCTGTCCCTCTAGTATTTAAATGGTATCAAAACAGCTTTCAGAAAATGCCTGGGAAGCTTGCAGACTTCTCATAGTGCATCATATTCCTTTATGTCAGCCACCCAAAGGCATGGCGTGTGGCTCAAATAGCAGCGATACCATCAAAGTGCCCGCTCAGACAAAGCACCGCACTGAATAAAGCAAGAGTCCAGCCCTTTACACTCCTTTTCAATCTGCCCCCTTTATAACCAAGCCAATAACGTCCCGGCTAATTTCTGCTTCGGGCTTCTACCAGAATGGAAAAAAAAATGCTATTTTTTTGGAGAATTGTAATAAAGAGGCAGGAAATCTCACCACCAGCTTGTGTAGTCTCTAGATAAATGTGTTGGAACTTGTTATGCAAAACAGACAAATTGAATGAGATAAAACATGAAATCCTCAATTATACTGCTGGGATTTTGATATGGAAACTCCCCCAAAGCAAACTAGGAAGTTGGAGATTGTACAGTGAGAATGATGAAACGGTGGTGCCACAAATGCAATTTTCGTGAGCTCATTTGCTGTCATTCTTACTACTATAGTGTCCTACATCTCTGAACAGTAAAGGACATGGTTAGGGAGTAGTTATGAAAGTGTCTCAGAGGATTAGCAACATTTGAAGAGGTGCAGTGTCTTTAGCTTGATTTGTTGGGAACTATTTTTGGCAGGGAAAGACAGGAGCCGTCCCTCAACCGTAGTGTACAATTCAAATATGTATGAAAGCTCCGGGGGACTGGTGAGGACATGTTTAGTTGGCATTCATTTATGAAAATCCAAAGCACGAGGAGAGGAGAAAAGAAGGGAGGATGTTGTGCAGAGTCCTTGAAGCAGAGTCCCCAGGTTTCAGCATTTGACTGTGAATTGGGATAATCTTACCAGACTATTAAGAGGAGTAACTAGACCCTTGATGTATAATTCTTAATACATTTTTTATTCAGTGGGTTTGTTTACTTACTGTGCATTGTCACCACCTGTCTATTATTTATGGTCATCTGAACTAGCATTAACTTCTTCAGAAATGTGAGCCACCGGAACTGGCATGGACAAAGCTACCCTCACTCACCCATGTACAGTTTTCATGTAACAGATACCAAGAACTCTCCACATGGGATCTAACTGTCTAGACGTTTACATTACATCAACTCTGAGGACAGAATGTTCACTAGTTTGAAAGTATAGTAACGATTATTATAGTATATGTGTTAATTTGACTAATTAGTTGTCTTAAGATTCCTGATTGATCTTTAAAATAAATCAAATAAATAACATAGAAATAATAGAATATAATAGAAATAAAAAAAACAGTTACAAATAACCACTGCAATGTAAATGGACTTGGCAAACTGACCAACCAAATGTTAGAGTTAAATTACTCCTGTAACCTCAAGTTCTTTGGTCCTGATCCAGCAGTCCAATATTTCTGTTAATCAATTATTATATTGGCTTGAGATGTACCAATTACAACTGGGCCGTGAGCCCGAGATTTAGAGCATAGTTTGATTGTTGAAGTACCTGCCGTCCTGCTGTCTGTCCTTTGGAAAGGCTATAAAAGAGAAAATTAGCTCTCAAATTGAGCATATTTTTCTTTTCACATTTCACTGGGCTAGAACACATATTCTGCCTCATTGCACCAATCTCAGAAAGGTGAAGATATTGACATGGGCTGGAAAAGAAAACGGTCTGTTTGA